AGGTTGCTTTAAGCTATGATGCCATGGCACTCTTATCAAGGGTGGCAAAGTGAGACTCTATTAAAAAAAAATTATTTGGTCTACCTTTACCATAAACAAAAGCCTTAAAACTTTTTACTTCCATAATTTATAATTTGTATATTGGCCTCAAGATATAGACAAATAATAATCTGATAAAAAGATATTATCTAGTCTATTAAAGCAAAATAAAGATTTACTTTTTCAACTTAGAAAAAACAGATGATTACCACTTTTCCTTCTATATATTGAACTTTTTTTTTTTTTAGGCAGTGTCTCATTCAGTGTCCTGGGTAGAGTGCTGTGTGATCATAGCTCACAGCAACCTCAAAATCTTGGGCTTAAGCAACATAAATTGAATATTTCTATGACATTTCTCAAGCTTTTCATGATTTGGAAACAAAATCTTATTACATACTGAATATTTAAAGCTAAAACATGAATCTAGAAGTTAACATGAATTTATGAATTTTTTAAAATCAGTTGATATTTGCTAATATCATCATATAAAATGGTCACTTAAATACTGAATACTCCTTCAAATAACATGTAGTATTGTATTGCTCAAGACTACATTGCCAAGGCTTGGTGCCTGTGGCTCAAGTGGCTAAGGCGCCAGCCACATACACCTAAGGTGGCGGGTTCAAATCCAGCCCAGGCTCACCAAACAACAATGATGGCTGCAACCAAAAAATAGCCAGGCATTGTGGCAGGCGCCTGTGGTCCCAGCTACTTGGGAGGCAGAGGAAGGAGACTCGCAAGAGCCCAGGAGTTGGAGGTTGCTGTGAGCTGTGATGCACTCTACCCAGGGGGAGAGCTTGAGGCTCTGTCTCAAAAAAAAAAAAAAAAAAGACTACATTGCCAAATAGAAAGACACTGATTTGATTAAATTAGTATACGGTAGTTGTCTTTGACACTATAACTTAAAAATATTTGAAGAACATTAATACGTATTTCATTTCAAAAGCAAAGTCTGAAATTAGTGAAAATTTGATCAACAGATACTGCATCCCTATCTTTCAAATACTCTGATTTGGTAAAGACAGGCCCAACTCTGCCCCCTGGACCCCTATGCTTGAAGAGTGTGAGGCAGCCCAGCATCCTTGGGGCTAGGGCCTGTGAGCTCAGCCTTGGCCGGCAGCGGCAGTCTCCCAAAGCAAGGGCTCTAAGTGGGGCCACCTCTAGCTACACTATGGGCCCCAGAGGCAGCATCTCTTTCCCAGGAAGCTCCTAGCCTACTTAGCAGTGATGCTGAAGAGGAACAGGTGGAAAGGAAGAAGAAATACCCTCCAAAAGGCATCATTTTCCAGTGCCTCTACTGAAGTAAAGGAAAAAAGGAAGAAGAAATGATAAAAACAGAGCCTGAGTGACTCTGAGGAAAGTAGAAAGGAAGAAGTGTCAAAAACAAACTCTTCTTGGCAGTGACTTTGCAGAAGAGAAAACAAGGATAAACACCAGAAACATGCCTCTTAAACCCAGCCCAAAACCCGGACAGTGTTGGCCATTCAGGTCCCAAAGCCTGGAAGAGCAGTGCTGCAAACGAACCACCCAAGCCAAGCCCTGGGTCCACTTCACCCGAATATGCTCATACCTTGAGCCAGAAGCAATGATGAAACCAGCAAAGAACACACGGAGAAACAGAACAAGTTTTGGCCACCTTGGGTGTCAGCCCAGACTTCAGCCTAGGCCCCCACAGATACACTGCTTTCCCACAGGCCAGACAGCCATGAGGTTCAGGCTGGAGACGTGTGAACCCACATGGCTAGATGGCCTGATTTCGCCACCTCAATGAACAGCTGCACTCAAGGCCCAGCAGTGCTGCACAACTTCTCTTCTAGGAAGACCCTGAGGCTTTTCTTCACCACTGTGCCTTCCAGAGCCAAGTGACGTGGCCAGTGCAGCCAGTAGACCACATTGCCAAAGATTTTTGCCAGTGGCCTGCATCCCTAGTGGTCTGACTTTGGTTCTGAGGATTGCCGCTTGACTTCAAGCATCTGAAATCCTGTGTACTGCTTTGACTTGGCCTCTCTGGACCCCAGGGTCACTGTGTGTGACATGGCCCAGGTGCCTTCGGAGGATTTGTCTATGGATATGGCTATTTTGCCCTTCACTGATGGAAAGCAACATCAGGGACTTCCTAGAGGAGGCAAATCAAATGCTAAGGTCAGGGAGTCTCCTGGAGGAGATCAGCAGCTGCTTTGAGGATGTTAGGATCTTTCTAGGAAGGCTTCAAGGTCATCCCCAAGGATCTGGCCAGCAGCTACTTGATGCTTGATTAAAAAAAAAAAAACTGGGCCCCTTCAGGAAGGACCCAAGGCTCAACTCTCAGGCCTGAAGATTCAGCCATGTCTCTACAAGTGCATGTGAACTCTGCACCTCCCTTGAAAAGGGAGGCAGGGCTCAGTGCCTGTGGCTCAAGTGGCTAAGGTGCCAGCCACATACACCTAAGGTGGCGGATTTAAATCCAGCCCGGGCCCACCAAAACAACAATGATGGTTGCAACTAAAAAATAGCCAGGTGTGGTGGCAGGCGCCTGTGGTCCCAGCTACTTGGGAGGCAGAGGCAGGAGACTTGCATGAGCTCAGGAGTTGGAGGTTGCTGTAAGCTGTGATGCCATAGCACTCTACCCAGGGGGATAGCTTGAGGCTCGGTCTCAAAAAAAAAAAAAAAAGAAAAGGGAGGCAGAACTTGAACTTCAGGCTCAGAACTCTGAAGACCATGAGCCACAACTTGGTACTACCTTTCTTTTACTCTAAGAACAAAGTATGATAAAACTATTGGCTTGCTTCATTCTACTGAAGGCTTCTTGGTTACAGGAAACATAAAATCACTTAGGGTAATAATAAACTACTTATTGTGAGAACATGGGGCTATCTAGGGATCAAAGATCACCTTAGGTATCATGAAAAGTAGATGGCTTGTAATTTAAAGAATCTCTGGGCTCGGTGCCTGTGGCTCAAGTGGCTAAGGCACCAGCCACAGACACCTAAGGTGGCGGGTTTGAATCCAGACCGGCCCACCAAACAACGACAGTGCAACCGAAAAAAATAGCTGGGCGTTGTGGTGGGTGCCTGTGATCCCAGCTACTTGGGAGGCTGAGGCAGGAGACTTGCTTGAGCCCAGGAGTTGGAGGTTGCT